AGCTTGAGGCTCTGTCTCAAAAAAAAAAAAAAGAAAAAGAAAAAGAAAATTCCTATAGGGAGGTGAATTTTTCCTTAGATAGCTTTGGGGACACAAATTCTTTGTCTTGATGGAGGATGGGGAATGAGGGGTCACTGTTTTTTACATTAGATGCCATCTAAAGATAGACACTAGCCTGTCATGTAAGAAAATCACCCAAAATTTTATCTAAGTTGCCATGGCTACAGGCTGATGTAACTGAGCTCCTTTGTGCTGCTCTGTGGACCAGTCTGACAATCAGGTGGAGCTAATCATTTTCATTTCCAGTGACAGCTTAATTACCTTGAATTGATTTTTGCGTAACTTATCCAACCTTTAAAGGTGAGCCATTGAATTAGACATTCTTGAGGTTGGATTCTAGTTCTGCCACCATTTAGCTATGAGTCATGTCCTTGACCATAGATTGGAAGGATGTTAATGGATGGGGCTGCATTCACCTTTCCTTGGGGAGTGTACCCTACCTATTCCTGCAGTTAACAGAAGAGTTGGAGAGCAAGCCAGCAGCTCCCTGCTTGGAGAACCTAGTAGCTCCCTACATGGAGAACCCAGTTTCCTCGGTAACTGATGCCTATGTCCAAGAGGGAACTGCAGTGTAGGCAGTTGGTTATTCTTATAAGCTCCAGTAAGCAATTCCCATTAGTTAAAAATAGAAACATTGCAGCTGAGGAGAAGTGGAGTTATAGACTGGAATATTAACTGTCGCTAGGGACTAACTGCTGGGTTTGTATTTACTTTGAAGAAGTGGTATCTCTCTGTGCACAGTTTCAGTCCTCTGAGTTTAGCACTCTGGCCATCCTCTGTCTTCTGAGATCATGATTATAATTTCCAGAGTACCCAGAGACAAAATTGAAAGGGAGGGGGACTCGTGGGGGAAACAGCATGTGACTAGCTTGGGCCAAGAGACAGGACTTAGTTCTCGTGACACTAGGCTAATACTGAGTGCTACAGTGTGCTTTTCCCACATCAGACTGTAAAAGGTTTGGTTAACAAGTCCTGGCCAAATGACAGGGATGGTCTGGAGAAGCTCTGCAGTGGTGTTCTTGTCATCACCAGCTATGGAACACTTTTCAATTGGTGCTTGTTGCTTTTGTTTTCAACTGTGCAGATCTGGAGTCCATACAAGCAGCCAGGATGTACTGGAGACCTCGATGGTCGGATTGAGGATGATTCCCGCTGCCTCTATACCCATGAAGAGTATATCAGCCTCGTGCTGAACAGTGGTAGTGGCCTGTCACATGACTATGCCAACCAGTCGGTCCAGGAAGACCCCCGGATGATGGCTTTTTTTGACTCCCTGGTACGCCGAGAGATTGAGGGTTGGAGCTCTGACTCAGACAGCGACCTCAGTGAGAGTACCATCCTCCAGCTACACGCAGGGGTCAGCGAGCGCTCAGGCTACACGGACTCAGAGTCCTCAGCCTCACTGCCTCGCTCCCCACCTCCCACGGTAGATGAGTCTGCCGACAATGCCTTCCATCTGGGGCCCCTGCGGGTCACTGCCACAAATGCAGTGGCATCTACTCCCCCAACACCCACGTGTGAGGATGCTGCCTCCCGCCAGCAGCGTCTGTCTGCTCTGCGGCGCTACCAGGACAAACGCCTCCTGGCACTTTCCAATGAGTCTGATTCTGAAGAGAATGCCTGTGAGGTTGAACTGGACACAGATCTCTTCCCCCGGCCACGGTCACCCAGTCCTGAAGACGAATCCAGCAGTTCTAGCAGCTCTAGCAGCTCAGAGGATGAGGAGGAGCTGAATGAACGGCGAGCCTCTACCCGGCAGAGGAATGCCATGCGGCGCCGACAAAAGACACCCCGAGAAGAGAGGCCTGGTGCCCCGATCAAGCCCACCAACACCTACATTGGAGAAGACAACTATGATTACCCCCAAATCAAAGTGGATGACCTCTCCTCCTCTCCCACCTCCTCCCCTGAGCGGAGCACTGCCACACTGGAGATTCAGCCAAGCCGGACATCACCAACTTCTGACATTGAATCAGTTGAGCGGAAGATTTATAAAGCTTACAAGTGGCTCCGCTACTCCTATATCTCCTACTCAAATAATAAAGATGGCGAGACCTCCTTAGTGACAGGGGAGGCAGAAGAAGGAAGAGCAGGAACCAGCCGCAGAGACAACCCAGCCCCTTCCTCCAGTAAGGAAGCCTGTCTAAGCACAGCAATGGTTCAGAGAAACCAGGACCTGCCTCCTGAAGGCTGCAGCAAGGACATTTTTAAAGAAGAGACTTCTAGAAATCCCAGCAATGGTTCAGGCCACGAGTATAGCAGCCACCTTTGGGCAGAGGTGCCAGAGGGCACCTCTCAGGACGCTAACAATGGGGGCTCTGTAGAACACCCTTTCGAAACCAAGAAGCTCAATGGAAAGGCCCTGAACAGTCGGGCTGAGGAGCCACCTTCTCCCCCTATCCCCAAGGCATCTGGCTCCACTTTCAGCAGTGGGTCTGGCACCTGTCCCAGGACCCAGTCTGATGACAGTGAGGAGAGGAACCTGGAGACCATCTGTGCCAACCACAACAATGGACGCTTACACCCCCGCCCCTCTCACCCTCACAATAGTGGGCAGAACTTTGGAGAGCTAGAGGCTATGGCCTACTCTTCCCCAGGAAATTCAGACACTGACCATGATAACTTGTCCCTGACAGGGACACTCTTACATAAAGATTGTTGCGGGTCTGAAATGGTCTGTGAGACCCCCAATGTTGGAACGAGAGATGACCCCAGTGGTGATTCCCCAGCCACAGACAACAGCAGGGCTGTCCATGGCCACAGTGGCCTCAAAAGGCACCGACTTGAATTGGAAGATACAGATTCAGAGAATTCCTCCTCAGAGAAGAAATTAAAAACATGATAAATAAAAAGGGAAAATAAAAGCTACAAAAAGTAGCCTTATTAAAAAAAAATTCCTATTTAGTGAATACAGAGGAAAGGAAAAACAAGTATTAAAGGCACATAAAACCAGGGCCTGAAATGTTGTGTCTGCTGCTGCTCCCTTCTATCCAACATTCATCATGGGTCTGAATGTCTAGCTGACCGTCAGCTTGTGCTGTGTTAAGAAAGGGAAAAAAACCCAAGTGACTCCTTTCTAGTAAGACCGGAGCATGGTGTGCCTGTGCGAGGTTCTGTGAGAGTGAATCCTTGTTGAAACGTTTGACTTGTTCTTGTGTGTGTACGCCCTGGCACGTGTGAGCTCGTCATCTCCTAAGACCTTTGTTTCATTTCTCCATCAGAAAGGATCTATGAATATGTATTTTTTGCCATCTCACCCTGTTTACATGACATAGGTAACATAGGATGCCTGTTAAATCATGTGTGCTGCCAGTGAGCTATAGATTCATGCTAGAAGAATGGAGTGGAGAATGGAAATGAGCCTCCAGCCCATTGGCTGTGATGGAGAGGAAAACATGGTTCCTTTCTTAAAGAAATCTTCCATGTTTTCTTTACACAATACTTGGTTGAACAATTTAATGTGGACATACTAAAAGTGGACTATCTTTAATGCTAATAAGAAGTTAGTACCTAAGATCAGATTCAAGAGAATTTAGATCCCTGATAAATTTCGCTGGTTACAAATTGAGCAGTGCTACAGTGTGTACTGCATGGGAGGCCATAAAATATAACTAGTTGTGGATAATTCATTTTAGCCAGTTAGGTGCTAGTTCCTAAGAGGCATTCAGAGACCAGCAGGTGCTGCCTTGGTTCCATATTACGGAGTTCAGGCATTCTGCAAGAAGGGGAAAGAAGAGCTTTGTGCTCAGACTACTAAAGCAGTTGTTACAGGTGTGTTAATGAAGATGTGTAGAAGAGCAGAAGGTGGGACTATATCCATTTAACTCAACCTAAAACCATTGGTTAGAACTGGTAGGACTTGGATCTCCTCTCAGAGGTGCAGTTGGCAGAGGCTGTGGTGTTTTGACTAAATTTTGCAGAGCAATGGGCATCTCGAGGTAACAGATTCTTATAAAGTAGGTCTACTGGGAGGTGCAGGGTGTGGGGGGAGGAGTCTGGTTTAAGATTCCTGATTCCCAAAGGAGATTCAGTTGCATTGAGGTAGATAAGGATTGAGAGAGGAAAAAGACCAAGAAATTGTCAGTGTTGTGGTATTAGTTACAGTCAGTTATCAATGAAGGATTGTGTAAGACCAGAGGACCTAGGGATAACCAGATGTCTTGTCACAGATGTCAAAAAGGCAGAATACTGGCAAGAAATGAGGAAGTGAGAGTAGAACAGTGTGACTCTGTTGAGCACTAAGATGCTAGACAACTGGGGCCCAGCTGGAATTAGTGTCAGCAGGACCATGAGGTTCCTCAGGCCTCCTTGCCCCAGCATCCCTTTTAGAGAAAGGCCTATCCCACTAGAACTGGGATGGAGAGGAGGAGGCCATCTGTGGAGGCAGAAGACTTGGGAAGAATTCAGGCACTGGAGGTGGGGGTACGGGTGTTATTTATAAAAGGAAGGTCCTTGGTGTAAGCCAAAAGGAGATAACATCTCACTTAAGCTCTAGGAAAGGCAACAGTGGGAAGTGTCTGGGGTGTGAAAACACTTTAGCGGTGGGGGTGTGTACAGCGTAACAACTGGACTCTTACTGGGGAAGGGGACAGTGATTCTGTAACCAACCTTGGAATTGCTTTGGATTTGTTATCAAAATGATTCTATGGTTTGTCTTTGACTATTCATAGATAATTGTAAATTCTGGTTTTATAAGCCCAAGTCATTTTACATTTGCTTTTCCAAAATGTATTAAATTGGAATTTTTTAATCCTTTATATACAAAAAAAGATGTAATCACTCAGTGTGTGTTTCTCTTCCCCTTCTTAGTCAGAGTACCCAATCTTTATATTATATTTTAATCTAATAAGCAGGTTGCTTCTTCTGATTTCTCTAAGGACAGTCCACATATCTTCCTGGAGAAAAAGAAGAAAGGTTCCCTTGGAAACTAGCTACTTGGTAGTTACAGTTCCCAAATGCAGAAGAACTTGGTCTTTTCATGTTAAAAGCCTTATTTTCAGTTGGGTACTTGAAAGAGAAGTCAAGGTTCACTTTGGTTAACTGTAGAAGCCAACAAAGGTCATTTTTAGCAAAGATGCCTTCTATCATTGGGAGAGGCTTTGCAGCATGGTAAGATCAGCTCTCCAGGAGAAAGGCCCCAGCAGACACATAGGAGCAAGCTGAGAGAGGTGTGTTTCTGTGGTTGCTCCACCCTCATTTCTAGACACCTTATGTCTGTGATCATGGGGCTGGCAACCTGGTGGGAACTACTCCTGGTACCTTTGCCTAAACTCTTGTGGAATTGAGGCCTCAACTTTGGAGGCACATTTAACCCCTGATTTCTCTACCAATAGATATTTTTACTAGCAGGACAGATGGCACTGATTAGTTTAAAAGCAATTTGCAAGTGCCTCTTACTTTTTTTTCTTCATCCTGTACATAAAGTTTTGAGCAGCAGGTCCAGATGTTTAAAACCATTTCTCTCTACTTTGTTTTCCACCTGGTTTTGTAAATGATTCTCTAGGATAGCTGGTATATGAGTTAAATGAATTGTTGGACTAGGGCAAATGAAGTTTGCAACTGTGCTTGATTTCATAAGCTGAGAGTCTCTTGTTTGTCTGTCAAGGTGCCTTCCTCTGCTGAAGCCTTACCTCCTCACAAGCCCTGCCTCTTCTCACGCAGCAACAGTTAACTCTTCTCTTGTGTATATGCAAATAAACCTATAATTCACTTCTCGCGCCTTCCTATTCTCTTCCAGGGAAGACTTGGTTGCTTAGACACCCCCCCTTTAATTCTTTTCTGTTTTATTTTTATTTTATTTTATTTTGAGACAGAGCCTCAAGCTGTCCCCCTGGGTAGAGTGCTGTGGCATCACAGCTCACAGCAACCTCCAACTCCTGGGATCACAGGCACTCGCCACAACGCCCAGCTATTTTTTGGTTGCAGCCATCATTGTTGTTTGGCGGGCCCGGCTTGGATTCGAACCCACCACCTTAGGTGTATGTGGCTGGTACCTTAGCCACTTGAGCCACAGGCGCCGAGCCTCTTTTCTGTTTTAATTCTTACCTAGTTGGAAACTTAATTCAAAACCATGCTGAGAACTAGAGGAAAAGCTATCACATCCATGACATTGGTCATTGTCACTTCTATGTATTGGAACAAAGGTCACATCTGGACAACAAAATGTAGGGTGGGAAGAGGTATCTATTTGGTCTCCTTTACTGGACTTGCAGGGACTCAGTGTCGTGAGACCCTGGGACTGACCCTTCTATTAGTTGGAACTGAGGAAGTGATGCAGGGAAGTGACATTACAAACAATACCAAAAGATAATTTCTGATGTTTCCAAATATCAAATTGCGTTTCCTGTCCTGTTACAGGTATGCATTACAAACTTTTTCCTTAAAAAATAAACAAAACTCATATATCCTGCCATAAAGCTGCTTCCTACAGTTAACTGAAAAATTCTTGCTAACCAAGATTCTTGTCAGGAAAACAGACACTTCCGAAGACCATCCTTCCCCTCTGACCTAAACAAGGCAGCACGCCAGGGTTGAAACACTGAGGTGAAGGGAGGCTCAGTGTGTCCTGCACATCTCACAGCAGCAGTGTGATGGCCTCGAGCACACCACACCGTCTGCTTCTCTCAGGTGGGGTATTCAGTGAAATACCATGAAAAGAACCTGATCTATATATATCCTACTTGCATTTCATTGTTAGTACAAAGGTGGCAAAGTGCTTCTCAGATGGAGACTTGGAGGCAAAGTTAAACTTCACTGGGCCCTGCACTAATGTGGCCGCGGACAAGCAGAAGTGACTTGATTCAGTCCACAGCAGGGTTAACTTGAATGTGCAGAGGGTTCTGCAGTGCTTATCTGCTGTCTGGAAAGAGTTACATTGTAAGGAAATGGGATACTGTAGTATTTCAAAATACTAAACCTGGGAAATGATGCCTTTTATGGGCCCAAGGCCATGAGTTCATGGAATATTCCAGATGAAGTATACAGAGTGCTAGCTTAAGTCTCCTATCTGCCTTTGTTACTACCCTACTAATGCTAGGGAAAGAACAAAACTCAAGGACATCCATGTGCTGACCCAGACTTAGGCATGGGTTTAGGCCAGCTGTGGTGGCTCATGCCTGTAATCCCAGCACTTGGGAGGCTGAGGCGAGTGGACTGCCAGAACTTACAGGTTCAAAACCAGCCTAAGCCAGAGCGAGACCTTGTCTCTAAAAATAATCGGGCATTATGGTGGATGCCTGTAGTCCTAGCTACTTAGGAGGCTGAGGAAAGGGGATCGCTTGAACCCAAGAGTTTGAGGTTGCTGTGAGCTGTGTGCCACAGCACTCTACTGAAGGCAGCAAAATAAGACTCTGTCTCAAAAAAATTCTGTGGGCCAAGTGTAGTGGCTCATGCCTGTAATCTCAGGACTCTGGGAGGCTGAGGCCAGTAGATTGTTTGAGCTAAGGAGTTCAAGACCAACCTGAGCAAGGTCAAGATCCCATCTCTACTTAAAAAACATAGAAAAAAATTAGTCAAGTGTGGCGAGCACCCATAGTCCCAGCTATTCGGGAGGCTGAGGCAAGAGAATCACTTAAGCCCAAGAGTTAGAGGTTGCTGTGAGCTGTGATACAACAGCACTCTGCCAAGGGCGACATAGTAAGACTCTGTCTCAAAAAAAAAAAGTCAAAAACAGCTGGGTGCAGTGGCTCACGCCTGTAATCCTAGCACTCTGGGAGGCCAAGGCAGATGGATTGTCTGAGCCAAAGCAAGATCTCCTCTCTAGAAATAGCCAGGCGTTGTTGGTGGCTGTAGTCCCAGCTACTAGGGAGGCTGAGGCAAGAGAATTGTTTTGAGTCCAAGTTTGAGGTTGCTGTGAGCTATGACTCCATGGCACTCTACCAAGGGTAACAAAGTGAGACTCTGTCTCAAAAAAAAAAGTCAAAAACACATTAGGCCAGGCTCGGTGGCTCATGCCTGTAATCC